CGGGCCGCACGCATATCATTTACATATCATGTCACCAATACAAACCAACCAGATTTATAATAGCCTATTATAGCCTAAATATTATGATATCTAATCGATTACATTCATTGAAATAAATAAATAATTATACTCCCCATTAATAAAACACCTGATGCTGTCGGGAGCTGACCAATTTTGTGAAATTCAGCTTGAAAGGAGTAACAGCACAATGAAGTTGCGATTGTAAGTTGCAGTCTGTAAGACGCACACGGAAGCGTGACTTGACGCGCGACATTGCAGAAAATGTGCGTTCACAAATGTAGCCTATGTTGATCCAAATATGGAAAGCACTTTCGAATTTAATAATCTGAGGTTCTCTCCAGAGATGTTTTGCCACATTTCTGCAATTAAGGATGATTGCTGCATATGGGTGTTTCCTTTTGCCTGAACATCTTCAAGTGAGTGGCGGGGCAAACCAAAAGTTGATGCCGGAAGTCCAGCACTCTCCTACACTGCTGCGACTACTCTTGTTTGTATGTGTTCCTTCGCTGGCATTTTCCACATTTCGTTTTTCTCTCTTAATAACAAATGTGTCCATTCTGATGCTCAATTTTACTGAACTAATGGCTGCTGATGACTATTTTTATTGAATTCTGCCAAAGTGCGCGCTTGTAAGTGTTCGTTAAATGCGTAACGTTAATTACGCGAGTAGGCTACAAGTCATGTCTGAAAATAATATATGAAAAACTAAATTATTTTACATAACAAAAACATTATAGATTATATTTGTTTAGTACATATTTAAATTAATGTAAAAACGAAAATGAATTGTAAAACTGAAAGTTATTTAAAAAATTGTGTTCAGCGGGCCGCATTTGAATTCGTGACGGGCCGCGGGTTGCGAACCACTGATGTAATGCTTGACATTAAATGCATCATCAATAATTCTCATAACTCAGTTGGTGTGGCAATAATGTGGCTTTAGTGGTTCTACATCTGAAATGGCAAACAAAAGATTGTAGATGGAACCCTTTCTGTGATTGTAGTAAAAATGCTGCAAGCCAGTTTTGTACTCAAAAGCGTCTGCTTAAATGAAGAATAATGTTCTGTTTCTGTTTGAATGTCATTTACTACAGAGTCTCAAAAGCACCAGGAGAGATGGAAGAACGGATCGCAGATGGATCCCAACTTTGCCATTCCTCTTCTCATGCAGAACCAGGCCCCTCAGGGTTTTGAGGATGGAGACAAAGTCAAAGTGGATTTGCGACCGGAGTCGGTAGGTTCATGATTGACACAAAAACTGGATGGAAGAACAGGCAGCCCTGTTGTAGAGCCTCTTTACTGTTTTCAGCTGGTCTATCCAGAAATGAATGTTGCTTCTCAGCATGGAAATATGCTTTACATATTATTCTACACATTATTAAATTATTAAACGCGTAAAGGCCTTTACAAAAATTTCTTAGAATGCTGCACATGGGATACATTTTAGTGCCAAGTTCATCATAGCAAATGGTATTGAATTAAATGGGAAAATCTTGTAAAGCAAGATGAATCTTTCCTTATGGATCCAGTGTGGAAATAAGTGTGTGACTAGGCTTTGACTAGTTTTAGACTCAATACATGGACTGTGACGTTAGTGTGAGTTACAAGATTGTGCATGTATTTGATCAAAAATAAAGTAAAAACAGTAATATTGTTAGATGCTATGATTTAAAATGTTCTATTTGCATAGGATTTGTTTCATTTGAATGTATTTTAAAATGTAATTTATTCCTGGGATGCAAATGTTGAATTTCCAGCATTACTCCAGTCTTCAGTGTCACATGATCCTTCAGAAATTATTCTAATCTGCTGATTAGCTGCTCAAGAAACATTTCTTATTATCATCAATGTTGAAAACAGTTGTGCTTTGTGTTTTTTCCAGGATTATTTGATCAATTTAAAGTTCAAAAGAAAAGCATTTGTTTGAAATTCTGTGTTAATAAGGAGCTATTCAAAAAACTGACCTGTAAAAATCCCATTTTAGTATGCTAACTATTTTACACGAGCAATGGCTATTATTGGTACTGCAGCACTTTGTGCTTTCTGTATATGACTGTTATTGATACTGTATGCAGATACACATCTTTCAGTTTAAATTAATTGCAAACCTGGGACACATCGGTGTGTTTGTACATGCTGAGGATGTATATGTGTATGTATGTAAACTTGATTGATCTGTCAATATTTTCTTCAAATACTTTTAAATATTATCAGCTTCGGTTGGTCATGTCTGCTTCATAGAAATTGTTAGCTCCCCCTTGTGTCAATTAATAACGCACAATTTTAGGAAAGTAGTTTTAAGATTTTTTTAAAATAATGTATGATATATGATATTATATATAGAGGAATTTTGGACTAGAAAATAATAGTTTGACTGAGATTCATTATTTGTTTTTGCTCTCTCCCTGCCTGTTTTTCACATATACATATATATATATATATATATATTAATCTATCTCTTGTTCTCACATGGTCTCTTTCACAGATAGAGGGAGTGGATCCAGATAACGCCAGAGTCATAGTTAAACTTGCCATTGGTGGCAAGACAGCAACCATTATCCAGCACTCTTTAAAATTAGTCAGCCGTAAGGAATACGACAAAAACAGCAAAGACCTTAGTAAGTCTTACATCCTCATCTGTTGTTTGTGTACAACTGAGCTTTACAGCAATTCTACATACAAATCAAATATGTTGGTCCTGATTTTGTTATTCTGGCTAAATCTAAAAGCATTTGTTATTCTAGTTAAATGCATTTTCCTCATGAGTATTATATTTAAGATGAATAAAGAATGCTCATTCACAATGCATTTACCTTCCAGGATGTGAGTGCTTCTAATAAAACTGAATGTCCAGTGAGAAATAATGTAGTGCAAGGCATTTTATTCAGTAGGATTTTATTGGATTGTGAGCTAAATTAATGTTAGTTACTATTATATTAATGTGCATCGACGTGTTTAGGTAAACAGAATCCGTTTTGATTTCATGGTGTCTGAACAGTTGAGAATACAGAACAGTTGAGACTGTGTAAAGTGCAATTTGAGCTTGTGGGAAAACTAGCTGTTTGGGTTCAAGCGTTTAAACCCAAAACATCACCAGTAAGCCTTTATTTTTCTGTAATCAGAAGCTGTGTGGTCTGACATACATATTTCACACATGCTGGTTTGCGCACGTGAAACCGGTTTACACAAATTAGTCAAATAAAAGCCATTTTAAAACTGTAACTGTTGTTTTTTTTACTCTTTAAAAAAAATAAATGTCATTTTGTTTACCAGATCTTTATCAATTAAAATGGCCCTTTCTGTCTACCAGGTCGTCTTAGTAAAGCACACAAGGACAAAGAGAGAGAAAAAGAGCGTGAACAGCAGAGGGAACGAGAGGAGAGGTTAAACGGCAAAGATGTCAGAGGAAAGACAGACAGAGTTCGAGAGAGGGAGAAGGACAGAGAGAGAGATCAGAAGAAAAGAAAACCCAGAGAATCAAGTACAGACAGGTAAGACGGACACTCAAGAACAGTATGTTGCATGTATTTGTTATTGAATCTGTATTTATTTCGATGCATGAATTATCCGCCCTTTCAGAGAGAAGCCTCCTCCAGCAAAAGAGCCGCGGCCGTCACCCCCAGCCCCCTCATGGCTTCAAAGAGACCTCCATGTGCGATTCATAGATAAAGCATTCAAAGGAGGCAAATACTACAACTCAAAGGTACTTCACTAGTATAATGAGATTGGTTTGTTCAATACAGTGTTTGTTTTCATGCTGAGAGATACTGAAGTGGTGTTTCAAAGGGGGAAACACAGGATGTGTTCTTGTTTTCATAAACAGAATGCAACTGCATTTTAAAGACATGTTTTTACCACTTATTCCTAATTAAGATATTACTGATATATAAGATATAAGTGTAACTTTTTAAATTTGTGTGTTTAGATGAGAGTCGAGGACGTCTTGACGCCCCACACCTGTGTTTGTCGTACAGAGGAGGGCAGACTGCTGGATGGTATGAAACACACTGATCTTGACCAATATAAGGCCCTGTCCACACGAACGTGGTTATTTTTAAAACCGCAGCTTTTTCTACGCGGTTAGGCCGTTCGTACACGCAAACGCAGCACCAGTTCACTGAAAACGCCTGCCAGGGTGAAGATTTTCTTTCTTGCCGTGTTATCGTGTAGACGGCGAAACCGGAGTTTTTGGCTTGTGACGTCGGCGCCTGCCTTGTTATCTCTGCCTACTGGAGACTTTTTCTGGCCAACATGGCTTTACGGTTGAGATTATATCGCCACCTGTTGGTTAGGCATGCTCTTGACAGTGCTTCATAGCATGCATTTGCGTTTTCATGTGGACGGAGATTTTTTTTTAAACGGAAGGAGAAAAAACTTGTGTGGACATTGCCTAAGATGTATTTTAACAGTGAGGATTTTTGGTCTTAAAGCTGGTTGTCAGTTTTCACTCATTTGTTTGTTTCAGATATAAGACAGAAGATGCTAGAGACCATTGTTCCCAAGAATGACTCGGACTACATTATGGTGGTTCTGGGAGAACACAGAGGACAGGTACATGGATTCACTTGCTTGTGTAGTAAGCATAGCTCTGTTCCAAACCCTCATGGGCCACCTACTTAGGCAGCATTTTAGGCATTATAGACACACCCGACATCAAGCTGTTTCACACAGAAAAATGTTGAAGACCCAGTGTTGTTATTGTTAACTAAAACTATTAATTATCATTTTTAATTGAATGCTAAAATATAAATATTAGATGAAAAACTTGAAAGAAAAAAAAAATGTGATGACAACTAACTGAAACAAGTACAAAAAATACTAAAACTGAAATAGAAATAAAAAAGAAAATTACTTTTAAAATGAGAACAACAGAAAAAAAGCTAATTCAGAATATTAATATACTAAAATAACCCTGCTTATTCCTCACTTGGGCAAAGTAGGGCAGCATGACATTTACACATTTATTCCAGAGATCATGCAATCCCAAAATGCACTGCAAAATCCAAGATGGTGAATAAACATTTTATTCACTACTAAAAATAGATCCACCTAATTAAAATGAAATATTTGTGTGAATCATATATGTATCACCTTCGAGTATTAAGTCGTTGTCTTCGTAACATGTTAACATACCTTAGAAAGTAGCTGCCTATGTAGACAGCGAGGAAGTGCACTAGGGTTTGGAACAGAGCCCTTAAGTTATTTTTAGTCATTTGATATGTATTTGTGGTCCACACATTTTTTCACTCCTATAATCGTCTTTCATAATTTATTTATCCATATGGAAAGCAGTGCATTTCTGTTGTAGAATCATAATGCATACGTTATCCTGCAGGTGGGCCGCATCCTGAAGCGAGACCGAGAGAAGTGTCGAGCCATGGTTCAGCTGGACCGGTACGAGGAGCAGGTGTTCACACTCGACTATGACGCCATCTGTCATTATGTGGGCGGAACAGAACACTGAGAGGCCAAATGGATGATACGACACACCCTTCATCATCCCAACCTTATTCTGATTTTTCCTTACATTGCTAGAGACCAACATATCAGATACATCCCATTTTTTAATACAACCAATATTTAATTAATTTTGTTAGTTGTGGTGGTGTATTTTAAATGCGAGTTTAGACCCAAATGTGGAGTCATACTGTTGTTGCGCTGTGACAGTGGCATATCTGCATAAATGGATGCTCTTAAAGCAACATAATATTCTGTTAATAAGAGTCTGTTATGTTGCCAAATGAATAAAAAGTGCCATGTTTCTCTCTGTATAGTGATAATGAATATTTACACAGGTCATCGGTTCAGAAGCATCGGTGTTTGAGTGTCTGCTGCTGATCAGGGAAATTACATTTCAACCCGATGTAGTTAGGGATAAAAAAAAATCTCACTGCCAGTTAATTAGAATCCAAACACTTTTGAAACTCTGCTTTGGCTTCTTAGTCCAATAAAGATCTCAATTCGTTGTTCATGTACAAAGTTATACACAAGCCACCTAAAATTTCCACTCATGTTATCCTTTTATAATAAAATGTTTAAATTCCTTTAAAATGCCTTTGATTTGATCTCTGAATGATTGAATCATCACTCTACTTGTCCATATAAATCTTACTGCGTCATCTGATACTTATTTCTAAGGCCTTAACTTAGAAATTTCAACTTTGCTGAAAACCTGTTGTACACTATTTACTATATAACCTGTCGTCATGGGATTATTTATTCTTTTTTTTAACTTGGTACTGTACACTTGTCTTTTGCTTCTGATAATGTAAACATAACTTTCATATTGCTGATAATAATATTTCAAGATGAACATTTACTGGACTTGGTTTACTTGATTATCCATACATCTTTTTTTGGAAAAATCATGTTAAAATCTGGGCATCAAATATGATCTGATGGCGAAGGTCGTGTCATTTCAACATGCTAAAACACATTGAGGGGGCAACCGCATTCATGTGTAAATTATTATTTTTTTTACTAAAAAACTATGCGAGTGCAGTCTTTCAGATGATTCTTTACAAAAACTACAATTTATTCTTTCATTTGTAAAACCTTTTTAAATTAACACTAAACCACTGAATGCATCTTTAAACAAAATGTTTGTTTTGCAGGGAACATCACTAGCATAAGTAAAATGGCAATTGTTTATAAAATGTATAACACAACACATGGTATATTTACAAATTAATATTTGTTCCAAATGTAAGAAAAAATATTACAAGAGCCTTTTAAAAATTATAAAGGCTTTACAGACACACTATTCCTGCTCAGTCGTCGTCGTCATCATCATCATCCTCTTCCAAGCGTCTTGTGTTCTCAGCGTTTGCTCTCAGGACGGCTCCGGGACTGGGATACGGCCTCTGCTGGAACAGGGGTCCTGCTGCTGTGGTGTCCGCGCCGGTCTTTGCCTCGTTGCGTTTGGGGAGACCAGTGGACCATGAGCCCCTAAATGCAACAGCACCACACATTAATCATATTCTTTAATATAGAAACTACCTCAAAATTTACTTTTTGAGTGCATTGCATTGTGATCTCTTTACTAAACATTTTGGCAAATTTAGTTGGTATCCAATGTAGGGCACCATTAGTCACCATTTCATTTGATAAATCTATTGTCCGATACACAGAAACTCAAAGATATTACAACTCTTCACCATAAAAGTTCAGTTTAACGTGAAGACATCATGACAACGTTCTAAAAGAGTAATAACATATTGTTAGAATAATAACAATAATATAATTTATTAACAGTCTTTTTTATTTTTAAAGGTTATTTTTCATGTTTAATTTAAAAAAGGCCCTACTAATGCATACAGAAAAAAAGCATAGTTTGTATAGTACAGTGTCTATAAAAAGTGTTCATACACCATTTTTTTCACGCTTTATGTGGCAGTCTTGTGATAAACTGCTTTAGATGACTTTTTTTCCACATCCATTACACTCCATACATCATACTGACAAAGCAAAAACAGAATTGTCACAACTTCATAAATTTATTAAAAATAAAAAAACTGAAATAAATACATTGCATAAGTATTCATTCTTAACTCAGTACATGGCTGTAAAGGTGTCTCAGCCATGTACTGAGTTAAGAATGAATACTTATGCAATGTATTTATTTCAGTTTTTTTATTTTTAATAAATTTATGAAGTTGTGACAATTCTGTTTTTGCTTTGTCAGATTGGCTACAAGTTTGTTTTGGTACTCGGCCTGACTCAGTTTTCTAAAACGTTTTTGTAAAAATACATACCCCACCTTTAAAGGGTTAGTTCACCCAAAAATTAGGCTGCGTTTTACTCACTCCCAATGCATCCTAGGTGCATATGACTTTCTTCTTTCAAACGAATCTAGTCGGAGTTATATAAAAAAATATTGTCTTTGATCTTTCAAGCTCTATCGTTGCACTCAGCGAGTCTCACGGAGGAGCTCCGGAACGATAAAAGGAGGAGTGACGACCGTGTTGGACGAGAGAGGACCAGGCCTGGATTTTATTTTGTGTTTTGTGTGCGGCAGTCGTCCGCGAGGGGCTGCCGCTTTACTTTCATTTTGTGTTTGTTTATTTTATTAAAGTTTTGTTTAAATGTTCGCCGGTTCCTGCCTCCTCCTTCCCGTGACTACGAACTGTTACAATGTTAAACACCCGTTTTGTTTTGTTTTTGCTTTGCCATTATGGTGTATGGAGTGTAGATTGATGTGGGGAAAAAAAGTAATTTAATTCAAAAGCTGATCCGAAATTTACACGGATCCTACTACTTGCCTTATCGTAAGCCTTCTTTTGTTCTGCAGACGTTTTCCTCTTTTGTTTTTTATCCGCCATCTCTATCTTTCTGTCACGCTCAGCTAATGTCCGTCCTATGCACTAAACGTTCTCTCCTCCACATCTTGAGTAGACACACCCCTTACTGCTGATTGGCTACAAGTTTGTTTTGGTACTCGGCCTGACTCAGTTTTCTAAAACGTTTTTGTAAAAATACATACCCCACCTTTAAAGGGTTAGTTCACCCAAAAATTAGGCTGCGTTTTACTCACTCCCAATGCATCCTAGGTGCATATGACTTTCTTCTTTCAAACGAATCTAGTCGGAGTTATATAAAAAAATATTGTCTTTGATCTTTCAAGCTCTATCGTTGCACTCAGCGAGTCTCACGGAGGAGCTCCGGAACGATAAAAGGAGGAGTGACGACCGTGTTGGACGAGAGAGGACCAGGCCTGGATTTTATTTTGTGTTTTGTGTGCGGCAGTCGTCCGCGAGGGGCTGCCGCTTTACTTTCATTTTGTGTTTGTTTATTTTATTAAAGTTTTGTTTAAATGTTCGCCGGTTCC